GAGCTTCAAGGTGTCCGCCCCTAAGTTTCTGTCACCGTGCCGACGGGAGGGGGTGGAGTCAAGTGAAGATGGGACTTCTGCAGGGGGGAGGAAGGGGGAGAGTAAAAAAGAGGCGGACTAAACAGATGACAGGACAGAACAGGTGGCGTGTTACCTGAAGCAGGCGTGTGCGACCCTGCGAAGATGAGCCTCCTCATTTCAGCACTGCTCCAGAATCCCTGCTCCTCCTCTCCGTCCTCATCCTCCTCTTCCTCCTCCTCCTCCTCCTCCTCAGTGCTGTGGTGGCGCCGGTTTCCTCTGCTCCACGTTCTCCCACATCCGCCCTCCCCGACCCTACAAATACAAGAAGAAGAAGACGATCTAAAACCTGTAAAGTTCATCCCTGATAAGACGGATTTGTTTTTTTACGTACCACTGTCTCTCCCTCCTCCCCTCTCCTCCCCCTCTCTCTCTCCGGGTCCAGGGTGAAGCGTAGAGGTGGGGGTGGAGTTGGACGAACCCTCCCTCACCGTCCCACCCTCCTGAGCCTAAAGACAAGGTCCGCATACGGCTGGTGGGACCGCTGTGACAGAGATGAGAGACGAGAGTAGAGTATTAGATATGTGAGTGTGGATAAAGATCGTAAACGTGTGTGTGTGAGTCAACAAGCTTGGACCTGATCTTTGCAGGAGAAGATGAGGGTTAAAGAGCTTGGACCTTATCTTTGCAGGAAATATAAGGGTTAAAGAGCTTTGACCTGATCTTTGCAGGCGAAGACGAGGGTCAAAGAGCTTTGACCTGATCTTTGCAGGAAAAAGTGAGGGTTAAAGAGCTTTGACCTGATCTTTGCAGGCGAAGATAAGGGTTAAAGAGCTTGGACCTGATCTTTGCAGGAGAAGATGAGGGTTAAAGAGCTTGGACCTTATCTTTGCAGGAAATATAAGGGTTAAAGAGCTTTGACCTGATCTTTGCAGGCGAAGATAAGGGTCAAAGAGCTTGGACCTGATCTTTGCAGGAGAAGATGAGGGTTAAAGAGCTTGGACCTTATCTTTGCAGGAAATATAAGGGTTAAAGAGCTTTGACCTGATCTTTGCAGGCGAAGACGAGGGTCAAAGAGCTTTGACCTGATCTTTGCAGGAAAAAGTGAGGGTTAAAGAGCTTTGACCTGATCTTTGCAGGCGAAGATGAGGGTCAAAGAGCTTTGACCTGATCTTTGCAGGAAAAGATGAGGGTCAAAGGGCTTGGACCTGATCTTTGCAGGCGAAGATGAGGGTCAAAGAGCTTGGACCTTATCTTTACAGGCAAAAATGAGGGTCAAAGGGTGAAGCGTAGAGGTGGGGGTGGAGCCTCCCTCACCGTCCCACCCCCCTGAACCTAAAGACAAGGTCCGCATACGGCTGGTGGGACCGCTGAGACACATTAGAGAGATAAGAGTCGAGTATTTAAGGTTTGTGTTTGTGTCAGAGGGGGAGGGTCTCAGGTGTTTCTCAGGTGTGCTCTCGTACCTGAAGTGATGTTGGCTGTAGAGCTGCTCCCCGAGTCTGTAGGAGCCGGAGACGCTGTAACTCCTCTAACGAAGGAAGAAGAGGCAAATGAAAAAACTTTCCCTCAAAAAAACAGAAAAAAATAAATCTGTTTTTCTCTCTCTGTTTTCTCACCCGGTTGCTGATGGTTCCCTGCATCTTTCCCGCCAAAATGTCGTCGGTGCTGGTGTCCAGACTGCGTCCTCCTCGGCTGAGTACAGGTGTGTATCCCTCTGTGAATAAGTACGGGTTGGTGTATGCGTCTGGGTGTGTATACCTGCTGTGGTGGTGTGTGTAGCGGTTGTGTTGTGAATGCGAGGAGAGCAGCAGGAGTTGTCTCTCTGCGCGGTCGGCTCGCTCCAGCAGCGTCTCGATGAACACCTGAAATCAAACAGGTTTTTGTTTTTAATTGTTTTTATTTATTTCAAGTTGATGTTGCAGGATTATGAAGGTAAAAGGAACAAAACTTAAACTGTGAACTTCTTTACATTTAGAAACTTTAAAAAGTTTAAAATCTTTAAAACCAGTAAATTAAAATAAAAACAGAGAACAGAAACAGAAACAAGATGTTTGTTGGTCACCTGAAGTCTAGATTTGGCCTTAGCCTCCTTTTCTGCGGTCTCCCTCAGGAAACACTCGATGTCCACCATCTCTCTGAAAACACAACCCCATTATTGATGTTATTATTGTTATTGTTATTATCAGGATAAATTGTTATTGTAGTTATTATCATTATTATTATATATAATTTTAAAATAGGTATTACTATAATTTTTTTTTATTTTGTTGATATTATAATTGTATTGATATTATTATAATTATAATAATACATTTTTATTACTTATAATTATTATTATTTTTGTTTTATTATAATAACTATTGTTTTTGTTATAATTTTATTTAAACTATTATTTTTATTTTATTATTATTACAACTAATTTATTACTATTTTTATTTTATAATTATGATTACTGTAATTATTATAATTATTATTATATTATTAAAATAATTATAATAATATAATAATTAGTAATGTTATTATTATAATCATTATTTTTATCATTATTTATGTATCTTTTTTATTTTATTATTATAACAACGACTATATTTTTATTATTACTGTTATTTTAGAATTTTGATTACTCTAATTGTTATTATTATTATTATCATGATTTATATTATTGTTTTAATTATTCTAGCTACCATTTTATTATTATCATTTTGTTATTATTGTTATAATAATAATAATGATAATGATTATTCTTATTATTGTTGTTTTTATTAACATTATAACTACTAGTTTTTATAACTATTATTATTATTTGTATTACTATTATTTTTATTATAATAATTATTATTAAAATAATAATATTAATGTTATTATTATTGTAATTATTATTTTTATTATTATTAATTGTATTATTAATATTTTTATGGTTTTATTTTGATTATTTTTTATTATGGTAATTATTAATATTGTTAATATAATACTAATTATTATTAATGTTATTATTATTATAATTATTATTTTATTATTATTAATTATATTATTAATATTATAATTGTTTTATTTTTATTATAATTTTTTAATTATTATTTATTATTATAATTATCATTATTATTGTTGTTGTTATATTTATATAATTTGTATTTGTTTGCAAAAACAATGACCATGAAAAATAAACAACATTTAGATAAAAGAGATACACAAACTGGGACACTGACCACACACACACACGCACACACACACACTCACACACACACACACACACACACACACACACACACACCCTCAGGGCTGTTCAACTTCACTGTCATCTTATATTTATCATCACCGCAGACCACAGCTGTGTGTGTGTGCGTGTGCATGTTCATGTATGTGTGTGTTAGTGTGGTCAGTGATGCAGACTGAACACGACAGCGTCCTCTTTCTCAGCTTCATGTTGTTTCCTGTTCAGAACATTAAAACAGCAGATCAGAGAAAACGTCAAATCACATCGATCTGGTTTAAACTCAGAGCTGATCCAGACTTAAACCTGAGCTCTGAAGTCAGATTAAGACTTCAGCTGATTCAGGATTAGACCGTCACAGACTTAAAATGATCGAAAACAGCTGGAATAGACGTGGACTACTGTAGACCTGGACTCCTAAAGGCTCAGACCGCTGTGACAGTGTCAGTTCAGACTGCTGTTTTGACTCTTTAATGTCATTTTAACGCAGAAACACAAACTTTAACAAACACCTTTTTATCGTTTCAGGATTTAAATACGTGTTTGAGGAGCTGTGGATCATTTATCATGTTTTTAAAATCAGCAGCCAAGCTATAAGACGAGGCGGACGGAGACGTACAGACACACGAATGTGGAGGAAAACACACAGACACTGACTGTTGGCGCTCGTTCAGCTCTCTCTCTTTCCCGTCCATCTCCGTCTTTAACCGCTCCATCATCTCCACGGCGGCGGAGACCTGAGAGATCGTGGAGACACACCCAGACTCTGATCACGTCACACACTCTTGGTTATTAATGCCGCTGTTATCGACAGGCATAGCTCCACCCACCTGCCTGCTCAGGTATGCCGCCCTGTCCTCCACCTCTTGTTTCTCACACTTGAGTCGCTCCGCCTCTCGCCTCTCTCGGTCAAGCTCCGCCTCCCTCCTCTGTAGCTCCACCCTCAGTCGACCCATGCGGCGGTTTACTCTCTCCTCCACCTCCGCGAACGTCCGAGCGATTCTGTGATCCAGCCCCAGTCCCAGTCGCTCCTCTAATCCGATCCCCACCGACAACCCCAGGTCCAGACCCAGCTGGAGCCCCACCTGACCCAGACCCTGAGGCCCCACGGAGCCGGGGAGGGCCAGAGCGGTGGAGGGGACTTCTGAAGGTCCAGCAGAGGAGGGGAGAGCCGGATCTCCTGGAGGGCCGAACATTTCCCTGAGCAGCTGGACGGAGGCGGACGAGGAGGCCAGGTCCAGGCAGGCCAGCGGCAGGGGGAGGCTGCGCGCTCCCATCCCCGAGGAGGAGCTCTGTCTTTGGGATACAGCTTGGCCTGGGAGAGGGAGGAGGGCCCCAGGTCTGGAACTTCTAACCCGCGCCTGAAATGATGGAATTATTCATCTCTGTGAGTCTGAACGAATAAAAATACATGGCTTTAAAGTTTACTCAACGTCCATCTTGAAAATATCCAAAAGTTTCACGTCTTTGTCTTCTGACTCTATCCTGACTTTAGGGGAAAAAACTGACGGACGTCTCACATCAACTGTTGTCTGGATGGACGCAGATGTTGCTCCTAAACCTGGAGATATGGAACTGAGGATGCAGCATCTATGATTTCCAGTTCTTCGTTGAAAGGACAGTTGGACTTACTTGGGACGTTTCGCCTTTCAAAAGAGAGTTACCCCCGACCTCCACCTTCATCCTGATCGTCTCCTAAAAGGTCGTATCCTCCGATCGTAGCTGATCGTAACCATTCAAGTTAACGTGTCAATTTACACCGACTTCTTTCCGTTCCTCTGCGGATCGCCGGACTCCTCAGCTGATCACAAGAGTTCTCTGAGGAGATGCTGATTCTAGAAGTCTAGAAGTAGATTTCCTCCTCTGGAAGGACACAATCTACTGCTTATATGTCTATGTGTCTGTCTTTATAGAGACAACTCGTTATCGCGTGATTGAACGTGAATCTGCAGGTTCTTGTGAGTTCTTGGGATTACTGCTGTCTGTAATCCACCACGAAACATTGCCTGACCAACAGATCCGGTAGGCAACAATCACCGCTGTTCCAGATCAGAGCCATTCCGGATGCGGTGAAAAACGGGGGTAACACTCTTTTGGAAAGAACAACTGGACCTTCTTGCAAAACGTCTCAAGTAAGTCCAGTTATCACTTTAACGAAGAACTGTAAATACTTCTCCGTAGTCCGCCACGAAATTTGCATCACAAACGGATCAGGTAGGAATTGGTGGATGGTGAAAATGGCCATTGTTCCATCTGGCTCCTGGCTGGCTCGCCACTTACAAAGTAAATTTCATAGATGCGAAGGTGCATGCAAACGGGCGGAGACGAACAAGTGAAAGGTTTTTAGACGTCATTTCACCCCGATGACACCATGGATGAGGAGATGCTGATTCTAGAAGTCTAGAAGTAGATTTCCTCCTCTGGAAGGACACAATCTACTGCTTATATGTCTATGTGTCTGTCTTTAGAGAGACAACTTGTTATCGTGCGACTGAACGTGAATCTGCGGGTTCTTGTGATTCTGGCTGTCCGTAATCCGCCACGAAATTCGCCTCATGAACAGATCTGGTAGGAATTGGCAGACGGCGAAATTCCAGATCTGAGCCGTTCCGGATGCGTTGGAAATTGGGGGTGATACTCACAGACGACTGAGAACGTCAGCTTCATTCTGAGTTCTCACCAAAAACAAATCAGCGGAGGAGACGATCGAACCGTTTTCATTACAATGGTCTTACCTGCGACAGCACCAGCAGGGTCTCATAGGTGTGACGGCCGACCAGGTGAGCCCTGAGCTCAGGTACCGACGAGAAACGAAGCTGGTCCCCGCAGCGAGGACAAAAGTAGGGCAGCTCCGAGGAAGACGAGGAGGGGGAGGAGGAAGAGGAGGAGGAAGACATGTTTCACCACGGAGACCTGGAGATAAAACAGGAAGAGAGACGCTGCAGCGGCGGAGGGAGACCACGGTTTTAACGTACTTGATGCTTTTATGTAGTCCTTCTGCACACACACACACACACACACACACACACACACACACACACACACACACACACACACACTGAAAACTGGGTCAGTGTGTGTGTGTGTGTATGTGTGTGTGTGTGTGTGTGTGTGTGTGTGTGTGCTACATAATTGATTTTGTGGAAATAAAGATTTAATGAGACTGAAATCTGTGGATTGAAAACAGAAATGCTTTAAGTGTGTGTGTGTGTGTGTGTTTCATTGGACAGAGCCAGCAGTGTTTATGTGTATTTGAATATCACACACACACACGCCTGTAGGATCTGACATTATTAGGACACGTGTGTGTGTGCGTGTGAGGCTGATTGGCAAGTGAAGCGTGTGTCTTCCACTCGACTGCACATGTGTGTGTGTGTGTGTGGAATATGAAAAAATAACACACACTTGCTGATGCTGCACTGGGCGTGAGCAGTCTGTGTGTGTGTGTGTGTGTGTGTGTGTGTGTGTGTGTGTGTGTGTGTGGAATATGAAAAAATAACACACACTTGCTGATGCTGCACTGGGCGTGAGCAGTCTGCGTGTGTGTGTGTGTGTGTGTGTGCGTGCGTGTCCTCAGCTCAACCCCGTGCGGAGGAATTCAGAGTAGTCTGGGTGGATGAGCAGGAAGACGGCGGCGGCGGCGAGGATGATGATGATGATGTCTGTCTGTGGATTTACCTCCCCTTAAACCCTCCTCGTCTCTTTGGTTGTTTAACTGAATTTTTCTGGAGGCGCTTTCGAACCGCGATCCTCTGCGGCTGCACACGACAAATGTTTGTGTTTGTTCTGTTTGCACCTGATTCACTGCTACATTTAGAGGTCCTCCAATTTTCCTCTTTTGGAGTTTAAAAATCAATATGATGATTTACGACAAAAATCATTATCACTGTAATATTTTATTATCAGTCTCTAGTTTTATATGAAGTCCTATTTTAATGTGTCATTATGAGTTGTATCTGTTCATGTTTTATCCCGTTGTATTAAATAATATCATGTTTTATGATAAAACTATGAGTTGAATGACATCCTCTGATTCTGACCACAAAACAAAATATGAGAGGCGGGAATTCATTCATCATCCCGTCTGTTTTACTCAATCTAGTAAACGAAAAATGAAAAAAACGGTCAATGCTTTGTTTATTTGTATGAAAATTGTAACAAGAATTTTATTTTGCGTTATGTTGAGTGGGTTTTAAATGTCGGCGCTGTTGTGCGTGAAAGATAGTTAGAGACGCCAAGACCCCAAAAAACTCAGCATTTCAGTTACTAAGTCGGAAAAAAGCAAAATCAGAGGTTGAAACAAGATGGCTACATCTACGAAAGAAATTTTAGCGCTTGCCTTGTCCGAATAGTAGGCAAGTGCTAAAATAACTTACAAAGTGGCTATGTCTGCGAAAGTTATTTAAGCACTTGCGTAGTATTCGGAGAGCCATGTTGTTTCAGGCCTCCGATTTTGCTTTTTTCCGAATTAGTAACTGAAACATTGGGTTTCTTGTGGGGTCTTGGAGTCTCTAAGTATCTTTCACGCACAACAGCGCCGACATTTTTGCTGCGTTCCAGTTTCCTTGCAAGTCAGATGTCGGAGGTAAAAAATGACGTTGCACCCGAGTTCCCAGCGTTTCAGTTACCAGGTCGGAAAAAAACAAAATCGGAGGCCTGAAACAAGATGGCTACATCTACAAAAGTTATTTTAGCGCTTGTCTTATATTCGGACAAGGCAAGCGCTAAAATAACTTTCGTAGATGTAGCCATCTTGTTTCCACCTTCGATTTTGCTTTTTTCCGACTTGTTAACTAAAACGCTGAGTTTTTTTGCGTCTTGGCGTCTCTAACTATCTTTCACGCACAACAGCGCCAACATTTAAAACCCATTCGCCGTAACGCAATATTGACAAATAAATGTATTTTGTCAAAATTCTTATTCTCAAGTCTTAAGGTATAAATCGATGTTAAGAAAGGAAAAAAAAATCGCCGAACACGTCATAACGCTAAAGTCTCACTCGTTATAATGATACGAAAAAGAAGTGAAATATTTTTAGTGTTTTGAATCGTGTTTTTCACATTTAAAGAAAAAAAAATCACTGAAACCCAAAAGATACAACAGATGAAAATAAACAGATCAGATTAAGTTGATCTGGTTGACTTTATTCGAGCATTTGCTTACATTTTAGACCACGACTACCCAAAATTCAAATAAACTGTGTCCTTTCTTTCACATTTCAGATTAACCTGACTGATTTTTGATTTCATAAGCAGACATTTATCTAATTTAAATACTTAATCCACTGAAAAATACATAAAACCATCAAAACATGTCGAAAAATGCTGGAGGAAAAGATAAGCTGATGAAATGTTGGAGTCTGTCTGTATTTCGGTCGAGATAAAACAGAATTTATAACCCTTAAATGTCAATATTTGGTTTGGTTATATCTTAGCTCGGGTCAGATTTCATCTGTTTTAATATTCCTGCAGTTTATCGTCGCCTGTGTCTGATAAAAATGTCAGATTTAAACTCTTACCTGAGGTAAAACGCTGAATTAAACGGCTCCTCTAACTCAGCCTGTCAGATCCGTTGCCATGGTTTCCCATTTTCCCGCTCAGGGATTCATTCCATCCTCATGCGATGATCGATCAGTTCTCCGGATCCGGTACCGGAGCGGTCTCGTGCTGCAGCAGCAGCAGCAGCAGCGGTGGTTTACGGAGCCGCTGTGTGTGTGTAAATGTCATACATGCGCTCTAACCGCCGCCCCTCGCGCACCCTCCTCCATCGGCCACCGCGTGCTTCTGCTGACGTAGAAGGCGCGTGACGTGTCGAATCCTGATGCAGGTAAAGATGGCGGAGAAGAAGAGCGCGGTGAAGTAAGTTTAAGGTTGGTTCATCGACGGATATTCACCGAAGATCTACCGGTATGGAAGTGAATCTGTGCCATCTGATAAAGAATTTGAATTTCTAGAGCTGAATTTTTTTTTTCATCAAAATCAGACTTTGAATTTCAAAACCACATTAAAGGCACGCATTTTATTTCTGACTCTGACTGATAAAATGTATTCAGTATAAAAAAGGGTCTCTCAAATTATTTGTTTAGTAAAAATGTAACTTTTTTTAACATACGATACAGTGACATAATTTTTCATACTTAAATATGTTTTTTTTTTCATTTTTGAACAAGAAAATTTAATCATACTATAATATGACATTTTTATCATTCTATACATTCTATATGTATATATACTCTATATGATTTTTTTCTACATAATTAAATATAAAATTTTTAACATACTATACTATGACATTTTTATTATACTATACTATGACATTTCTTACATACACAAAATATGAAATTTATTTTCCCACTAAAATTTGTAATTTTTAACATATTATACTATGATGTTTTCATCAGACTATACTTTGACATTATTTTTCATTGAAAAAAATGAAATTTATTTTCACACTAAAATTTGAGATTTTTAACATACTATACAATGATGTTTTAATCAGACTATTCTATAACATTATTTTTCATTGAAAAAAATGAAATTTATTTTCACACTAAAATTTGAAATTTTTAACATACTATACTATGACGTTTTCATCAGACTATACTATGACATTATTTTTGATTGAATAAAATGAAATTTCTTGTCACACTAAAATTTGAAATTTTAACATACTATACTATGACATTTTTCATCATAATATACTATGACATTTTCATCATACTATACTATGACATTTTTTTCATACAAAAAATTAAATTTATTTTCACACTAAAATTTGACATTTTTAACATACTATACTATGATGTTTTCATCAGACTATACTATGACATTATTTTTCATTGAAAAAAATGAAATTTATTGTCACACTAAAATTTGAAATTTTAAACATACTATACAATGACATTTTTATCATACTATACTATGACATTCTTTTTCATACGAAAAAATTAATAAATTTTACACTAAAATATGACATTTTAAACATAATATACTATGACATAATTTTTCATACAAAAAAATTGAAATTCGTTTTCACACCTAAATTTGATATTTTGATCAAACCATACTATGACATTTTTTACACTCAAATATGTAATCTTTAAAATATTATACTATTACTATTATATTATACTATTATTACATTTTCATTATACATTACTATGACATTTTTTTCATACAAAACTATGAAACTTTAATTTACACAAAAATATGGAATTATTAATATACTCTACTTTGACATTTTTCTCATACTATATCATGACATTTTTTCATACAAAAATATGACATTGTAATACACACAAAAATATGAAATGTTTAGCATACTATACTATGACATTTTTATAATACTACACTTTGAATATTTTTTCTTATACAAAAATATGACATTTGTGCCATGACAATTTTTTCATCCTAAAATATGTTTTTTTCCACACAAAACATTATTTTAACTCACTCCCCAATGACGTTCAAAAAAGAATTTTTTTCACACGTAAATATGAGAGTTTAAACATACTATACTATGACATTATTTTTGATTGAATAAAATGAAATTTCTTGTCACACTAAAATTTGAAATTTTAACATACTATACTATGACATTTTTCATCATACTATACTATGACATTTTCATCATACTATACTATGACATTTTTTCATACAAAAAAAATTAAATTCATTTTCACACTAAAATTTGACATTTTAACATACTATACTATGATGTTTTCATCAGACTATACTGACATTATTTTTCATTGAAAAAAATGACATTTATTGTCACACTAAGATTTGAAATTTTAAACATACTATACTACGACATTTTCATCATACTATACTATGACATTATTTTTCATTGAAAAAATGAAATTTATTTTCATACCTAAATCTGACATTTTTAACATACTATACTATGATGTTTTCATCAGACTATACTATGACATTATTTTTCATTGAAAAAAATGAAATTAATTTTCACACTAAAATTTGACATTTTTAACATGCTATACTATGATGTTTTCATCAGACTATACTATGACATAATTTTTCATTGAAAAAAATGAAATTTATTTTCATACCTAAATCTATGACGTTTTCATCAGACTATACTATGACATAATTTTTCATTGAAAAAAATGAAATTTATTTTCATACCTAAATCTGACATTTTTAACATACTATACTATGATGTTTTCATCAGACTATACTATGACATTTTCATCATACTATACTATGACATCTTCATCATACTATACTATGACATTATTTTTCATTGTTAAAAAATAAAATTTATTTTCACACTAAAATCTGACATTTTTAACATACTATACTGTGATGTTTTCATCAGACTATACTATGACATTATTTTCATACAAAAAATGAAATTTATTTTCACACTAAAATTTGACAGGTTTAACATACTATACTATGATGTTTTTATCATACTATACTATGACATTATTTTTCATTGAAAAAAATGAAATTTATTTTCATACCTAAATTTGACAGGTTTAACATACTATACTATGATGTTTTTATCATACTATACTATGACAATGTTTTTTCATACAAAAATATGAAATTTATTTATACACTAAAATCTGAAATTTTTAACATACTATACTATGACAGTTTTATCATACTATACTATGACGTTTTTTTGCATAGGAAAAAATTTAATTCATTTTCACACAAAAATTAAAAATTTTTAACATACTATACTATGACATTTTTATGATACTATAGTGTGACATTTTTTTTGTACTGTTTTTGGCTGTGGGTGTGGGTGTGTCCTGTGTCTTCTGCTGTGTGTCTCTCTCTGGTAGGTTTTCTCCCCAGGTGTCTCAGTGAACCTGCTTGGTGTGATGAGTGGAGCAGATATAAGAAGGCACAGCTGCGCTGATTCTCTCTCAGCCCTCGTCATTGACACGTGCTGCAGACCTCCCAGTTGTTGACTGTGTTTCCATCTTGTGTGATTGGGTGTTCTTGAAGTTCAGGTTTTCCGGTGGCAGGAGCCTGTGGTGTTTCTTTTGTTTGTTTCAATAGTTGGCGGTGAATTTTGGTTTTTGAATAACTTATTAATAATCGGCTTCGCGTTCGCTTTTAGTTGTTTAATCATTTTGTTATTAGTTTTGACTGTGAATAAATTACTTGCTGACTTCTGACTTCCTGTTTCCTACTCTTCATTTAGTCTCCCCTTCCCAGTTTCAATTTATTGTTACGTCCCATCTTCCCCTAACCATTCTCCCGGGTTGTAACATATACAAAAATAAGACATTTGTTTTCAAACTATCATGCTTATCATGCTATACTATGACATTATTTTTCATACAAAATATGAAATTTATTTTCACTCCAAAATTTGACATTTGTAACATACTATACTATGAAATTTTTTTCACACATATATATAAAATTTGTTGTCACACAAATATTTCAAATTTTTAACATGCTATACTATGACATTTTTATCATACTATTCTATGACATTATTTTTCATACTAAAATATGAAATTTATTTTCCCTCGAAATTTGATATTTTTAACATACTATACTATGACATTATTTTTCATAGGAAAAAAATCAAATTTTTTACATACTATATACTATGACATTGTTTTTCATACAAAAAAATGAAATTTATTTTCAAACCAAAATTTGAAATTTTCAACATACTATACTGACATTTTTGTATCACACTATAGTATGACATTATTTTTCATACTAAAATATGAAATTTAGTTTCACTCCTAAATTTGAACTTTGTTTTACATAATATACAATGACATTTTTATCATACTATACTATGACATTCTTTTTCATACGAAAAAATAAATTTTACACTAAAATATGACATTTTAAACATACTATACTATGACATTATTTTTCATACAAAAAAAATGAAATTCGTTTTCACACCTAAATTTGATATTTTGATCAAACCATACTATGACATTTTTTACACTCAAATATGTAATCTTTAAAATATTATACTATTACTATTACTATTATATTATACTATTATTACATTTTCATTACACATTACTATGACATTTTTTCATACAAAAATATGAAACTTTAATTTACACAAAAATATGGAATTATTAATATACTCTACTTTGACATTTTTATCATACTATCTCATGACATTTTTTCATACAAAAATATGACATTGTAATACACACAAAAATATTAAATTTTTAGCATACTATACTATGACATTTTTATAATACTACACTTTGAATATTTTTTCTTATACAAAAATATGACATTTGTGCCATGACAATTTTTTCATCCTAAAATATGTTTTTTTCCACACAAAACATTATTTTAACTCACTCCCCAATGACGTTCAAAAAAGAATTTTTTTCACACGTAAATATGAGAGTTTAAACATACTATACTATGACATTTTTTATCCTTAAATATGAAATTTTGTTTCACACACATAAAAAAATGAACATACAATACTGTGATGTTATGATCATACTATACAATGATATTTTCATCTTACGATATAAGCCATTTTTGTCATACAAAAATAAAAATTTTAATTTCACAAAAATTTTGAAATTTTTAGCATACCATAATATAACATTATTCAATAATAAAATTTGAAGTCTTATTCCACTAATATGAAAGTTTTAGCAAACTAAACTATATTTTTTTAACATTAAAATAAGAATTTTTTTCACACAAAACATAATTTTCACACTAAAATATGAAAATTCTAACATACTATACTATGACACTTTTTTATTCTAACAGGTGACTTTTTTTTTACAAAGAAATATGAAATTTTTAACATACTACACTATGACATTTTTATTCTAACATTTGATATATGTTTCACACAAATTTGAAACCTTCCCATCATGTTTTTCAGATATTCCATCTTTCCTCTCAGTTTAATCGGTTTATTTTTGTTTAAATTATTTTAGGTCAAATTCGAAGCGTCAGAGAAAGTGACGTGTTTATTTCCACCTTTAAAAATAAGCTGTTTATGAATCCTGAAGTGACTCCCGCCGTTCATCTCTGCGTGTGGGTAAATCTGTTGGGAAATGTGTTTACTGTCAGCTGGTCGTGTTGTTGTGTTTGTGTGTGTGTTTGTGTGTGTCACCACACATCTGTCACTGTGACAAACACACGGCCAAAAGTATGTGGACACCACCAACACACAGGAAACCCTGGACAGTATGTGGAGATGTTTCTGCTGTTTGTTGGTCCAGTCTCCTCACAGTAAGAGACTGTAACAAACGCAGCTCTGACACAGATAAACTCAAAGTTATTGACGATGATTTACTCCAGATATAAAACCAATAATCAGCTTTTATCCTGATCGACTGAACAGCTGATTTTACAGAACTGTTGTTGTGTTTCAGAGTCGCTGTTAACAATCATCTATCTGAGCTGAAGAGTGTGAATTTTGATTGTTTAAGATCGAACAAACACAAACTACTTTATCATGATGTTTTTATACATTCAGGGAGTTTTTATACTTAAAGTACTTTATTCAGCCTGTAAATGTACTTCTATACGTACCAGTGTGTTTTTACAGTGCAGTATTTATACTTTAACACTCTGGTTTGTGTCTCTGTGTTATTTTCAGACACACAAAAACACACACATTTATAAATCATGTTGTTTATGTTGATGGGCGGTAGTATGTAGGAGGGGGGCGGGGCCTGATGACAGCTCACTTCCTGTTAAAGGGAGAATAAAACTGACGAATCCGAGTCGAAACCCTGCAGACCATCGAGACCATCAGGACTGACTACTGCAGACCAGTTAAGACCAGTTTAGACCAGTTTAGGCCAGTTTGGACCAGTTTGACTCGGGATGTGGGCGTTGATGCTGATGATGTTTCTACTGGATCAGAACCAGGCGGCTCCTGTACGACCTGATTATTGATCCGTGATCAAATTACTGGACGCACATGTGAGACATTGATTACTGAGACTGTGTGTGTGTGTGTGTTTACAGTTACCATGGGAACAGCTCAGCCTCCAGCCCATTGGTCAACTGCAGGACCAAACAAGAGTGAGTATTTAAGTGTTTAAATTTGTGAAGTTTTAAAACTTTAATTAACATCCAGGATTTATATAAATGTTTTTAAAAGTGTTGAAAATCTTAGAGGTGATGTTTTTAATTTTCAGTTTTTCATTGATGATTGTATTTCACATTCGGACTCAGAATCTTTCATCACTATCCCATTTAATGTCGTAACATTGTTTCCATTTTATATCTAATTAATTTACAGATATTTCCACCAATGACTACAGATTAAATGTAATCAAACATATAAATGTACGATTAAATTATTTTAAAAAAATCAAAAATAATTGAATTAAACATTCATATTTTATAAACATTTATATTAGTATTCAACATTTATGCTTTAAGAAATTGCCTTCACCATTCACCAAGAAATAATTCATATTTCCATCAAACATTTAAAAATTTTTAAATTTTAAAATTACATTTACACTAAAAAATTTTAATTCTGATGAAATGGAATCATTTTATCTGTATTTAGTATTAAAATCTTATTTAATTGGATAATCATAATTATTTATTTTTATATGATTAAAATTAAATCCTCTCTAACACTGAGATCATTTAGACACAGATATCAACATTTGTGAATTAAATTTACGAACAAAAGAAAAAAACAACTAAAACATTTAACATGAAGATATTTTTCACTTTAGATTAAGTTTATATTTAATTGATGCATTACAAATTTAAACTTAATATTTTCAACATTTACATTTAAGATTTTTAGGCGAATATGATTATTTACATATTTATATTTGTAATGTAAATATGATTATTTACATTACAAAGCTCAAAAACAATCTTAATTAATTTGTCACATTTAGATCAGACATTTAACACTTCAATTTCTTCAAAACTTTGTCTTGATTATTACATTTACATTTTTTAATCAATATTTAATTTTTAGATTTAACTTATTTATTGTTAATGTTTATTTAGTTTTAATCACTCGTACCTACAGTAAGTCAAAATTTTTCATTTCCAATTTTTTTTTTTTTATATTAATAATTTTTAGATTTTTACATTAAAATGATGATTTTTCAGTAAATAAATTAATTTATTATTTCTATTTAACATTTACCTTTGAAATATTTATGACTGTTATTTTATAGTGTCTCTCATACATTTATTTAATATTTAATATTTACTGTTAAAATCTAAAGTTAATATTAAATTTCTATCATTGACACATTTAACCCTGATATAATCTTTCATTTTTTCTCTGAGACAGTTTGTAAATGTAGCTCCTCGTGTGTTTGAACATTTTTAAATCTTGATGTGAAGAAACGCTCCGTTATTTCCTTCCTGTTCGTTTCTGCAGCCTTCACCTTCTGCCCGTCCTGCTACGGCTCGACCGAGAACTTTCTCCTCTTCCTCCTCTTCATCCTCGGCCTCTTCTGAGTCCAGCCAAAGTTCAGAGGTCAGAGGTCACTTTCGTTATAACATCAATCTGTGAACAAAAACACTGACAGTTATGTCAGGAATTAAGGTGAATATCTTATTTTCAGGGGGAAATGACTGGGATTTGGTCCTGTGGTCTGAACCTCAGAAAATGGATCCTCTTTGGGCTAAATATAAGTTTACTACACTACCCATGAGCCTTAGCAGCTGCTAACCAATCAGCGTTCAAGAACAGCTCTGTGGTATTGATAATCAGGTGTAAAGCAGCCACTCAGTTTTTAAGGTTAAAATCCACCTGCCATCATAAACAGAACCTCTACTGACTTTTACTCATTTTTAGCTTTTTCTACATTTCTGCCCAAATAAACAAAAACTACAAACTAAAGTCTGTTTATCTCACCTGAGGACCTCCTGCTCTTTAATTCGGCTTCAGTGTCAATCAGCTGACAGCCCCCCCACCCACTGAAACTGCTTTGAATCTGGTGGAGGCTGTTTCACTGACTTTGACCACCATCTAGTGGACGCCACGGGAACTGCAGCCCAACACACACTAATCCTGAGGCTGCTCATTGGTCAGAATAATCCTGTTAAAACAGACGTGGTTATGACGTCATCACGCAATACAATAGCTAATGACAACATAACACCCGATGACCAATCAGCTGCTTGCTACACTGACCCTGATTGGTTGATTTTTACAGGGAGTTCAACCGCTGAGAGACAGACGGAAACTGGAGAACACGGTAACACACACACACACACACACACACACACACACACACACTCACACACGAACGCACCATTAAATTACCAACCCTGTGATGTCATGGCGTGTCTCTGATGTCATTTCCTGCAGGCGGTGGAGCAGGTGGACTCCTCCCAAGAGGTGAGCTGTCAATCAAACCAGATCTGTCCAATCAGTACTAAGCGTACGGTCTCATTTACTGTATGTGTGTGTGTGTGCGTGTGCACGTGTGTGTGTGCGTCAGAGCCTGGAGCTCCCCAGCTCTCCCAGCAGCAGTCTGTGGCTCAGTGAACTGGTGTTACTGGGACAGAGAGCGCACGAGCGTGGCGGGGAGAGAAGCACCGGAGACGACAGCGCCGGGAGCGCCGAGAGCCGCCAGAGGGTGAGGGCGCACTTGTCAGGTGACATCACACACAGGAAACTGTGATTATTTACCAAAATAAAAGTCTGATGATGTGACGGTTCAGGGATACTCCTCTTCCTCCTACAGGCCATGACATTGACCTTTCACCCCCTTATGACCCGACCTCGACTCGATGGCGGGTTACCTGATCTCACTCCAGCGGAAGCCGCCTCCAGCCTGGGCGCCGGTACAGGCGAGGGAGGCGGAGCCGTCATAGATGAAGATGAAGGGGGTGTGGCTAATGCAGAGGAGGGCGGGGTCGGAGGAGGAGCAGAGTTCGACTCGTTCCGTCGTCCGTTTGGTGACAGCGTGGAGAGAGGGGGGCTGACCTTTGACTCACCAGGCCACACCCACCATAACGGTTTCTATGGAAATGAAGGCGAGCTAGAGCTGAGGCTGTGATGGCCACGCCCCCACTGACACCTGTCAATCATTTACCTGATCAGACCTGGATCAGAGAGTTTTGAAAAGTACTTTCATGTTTTTATTTCCTATAAAAATATCATTTTTCAAATATAAGATCAAATTTTTGTTTCTTCTTTTTTTCTTCCTGTGTTCATGTTTTTCACTATCAGAGGCCAAATAAACGAGTGTTACTATTTTTACTTCCATAAATACTTTGTTTGTTGTTACTCTTTTCCTGAGAAAAAAAAAAAACAACCAAAAAACTTTAAAAAATATTTTAAAAATTATCACATGACAATTAAACTAAATATTATGTTCAATAAAAAAAAGAAAGAAAAATATTACAGTGGAGTGTTAGGGCCACATAAAAAAAAAAATAAGACTTCATAACTACTTATGAGAAGAAATTATTTATTTCACGACTTGAATCTCGTCAGTTATGACTTTAATCTTAAAGTCTTACTTTTTTTTACTTAATGAAGCCCTAACACTGCGTCGTAGATTTACGTTTGCTAAACATAATTAAATAAATATAAATATTATATTTTAAAAAATTAAAAAATGAAATGAAAATATATAAATCTTCTTTCACTTTGTTTTTATTAATTTAGACTCTTTTTATCTCCGAGTGAAAAATTTGATTTTATCCTTAACAAAAAAAATTTCCATTTGATTTACAGTGATGTCAGTCACTTGTGCTGTGATTGGTTAACCGTGTCCAGTAGGTGTGGCCTGTTCTATTTCCGCAGGGCCTGAATCTGAAAGGGGAAATATTTCGGGTGTGGACGTGATTTACTGTTTAGTTAATCAGAGCCGACAGGAGAGAGAGTTCACAGATGAGCTGGTTAATCCTCAATTTTCACCACATCCAGAAAGGTAGCGATTTTCGCCATACGCTAATTCCTACCGGATCCGTTTGTGAGGGGAATTTTGTGGCGGGTTACAGACAGTGGAAATCTGTGCTGAATTTATCCGCCATGCTCCGGCGTCCAGAAAAAAATCGAACTCTTGAGATCAGCTGAGGAGTCCGGCGATCCGCAGAGGAACGGAAAGAAGTCGGTGTAAATTGACACGTTAACTTGAATGGTTACGATCAGCTACGATCGGAGGATACGACCTTTTCGTAGACGATCAGGATGAAGGTGGAGGTTTGAGGTCAGAAAGATGGACTTTGATTTTGGCGTCGGATCATTTCACTGTTCGGTCTGTATTATCTCTAAATTGAAGATTTGGTTGAAAGTTCTTTAAATATCTGTTTCCGTCTGTTTTTCTCTGGTACTTAAAAACTCCCTACAGGTCCTTTAAATGGTTTCACAGTAAAAGTCTCAAACAATAGTCTGTTTAGTCGGTTTTATTTGGAGTTTTCAGACTTTTTTTTAAGAGAACATGTGAAAATAGACGTGGTATTAAACTTTTGTTGTTACTGTACGATCAGCTGATGGGTAACAATCAGTTCTTGTTAACAAAAACTTTTATTTTGAAATGACCGTCTGCAGATTTGTCACTTCCTGTTAGCGTCCATGCTCCAACTAGAGTCCAGAAAAAAGAGATCGAATACAAATCCATCCCCCACAATCCTTTGCTTTGACTGTGCAGGTCTGTGTCAGCCAATCACAGTAACCCTGCTGTCCAATCAGAGTCAGCGTTTAAGAAGCTCCGCCCACCATGTTTAGTTGCATCACATCCTCTCCTGATAGGGTCACTTCCTCTGGGCGGGGCCTTTATGGAACAGGTAGATCGGCCGCTGGTTACCTGGAAACACAAACACACCTGAGCACCACACTGTGTGTGTGTTTTCTGTGTGTGTGTGTGTGTGTGTGTGTGTGTGTGTGTGTGTGTAACTGTGTGTGTGTGTACCTGTGTGTGTGTGTGTGTGTGTGTACCTGTGTGTGTAACTGTGTGTGTGTGTGTGTGTACCTGTGTGTGTCAGCAGCCTGTAGGAGGAGAAGCCCACTGTGTCGGTCAGGTAACAGGTGAACTGTTCAGGTCTGAGCCTCAGAGTCCTGAAGTGACAGAAGGTCCGCTCCTTCAGACGACAAACAGAAACTCAGAGTTAAAAAGTTTTTAAAGTCAGAGTTAAAAAGTTTTAAAGTCAGAGTTAAAAAGTTTTAAAGTCAGAGTTAAAAAGTTTTTAAATTCAGAGTTAAAAAGTTTTAAAGTCAGAGTTAAAAAGTTTTAAAGTCAGAGTTAAAAAGTTCTAAATTCAAACCCCGACAAAACAAGAACCATGCAACATAAAATGAGACCATGAGGAACAAATAAAAACATAAAACAGGTAAGAAAAAAAAATGTAATTAAAAGGAAAGTAAATATAAAAGACAAAATCAACAATGATAATAAACTAATAATAACAGGTAATACTGATAATAATAATAGTAATGATGAAAAAGGTTAATTAAGAAAAGAGTACAAGTGAAAGAAAAACTAAAATAACAGTAAAACCGAAATAAGATAGAGGGAAAAGTTATAAAAAGAAAAATGAGAGAAGACACAAAATTACAAGAGACAAACTAAAATAGATAAAAGAAAAGACGAAAGAGAAAAGATAAGAGATAAAAGAGAAAAGAAAAAAAAAGAAAAGATTAAAGAGATAAAAGAGGGGAGAAAAAAGAGAAAAGAATAGAAAAGAAAAAATATGTAAGCGAAAAAAGAGAAAAGATATAAAAGAGAAAAAAACAGAATAGAAAGAAAAAATAAAAGAAAAAAGATTAAAGATAAGAGAAGTAACACAGGAAAGCGGAAAGATAAAAGAGATCAAATAGAAAAGAGATTTTTTTAAAAAAGAGAGAAAAGTCTTCATCACATAAAATCAAGTCTGAAAAAGTGCGTTTTTAACACCAGAGGATCTGAGAGTTTAACCTTTGAGAGCTTGAAAAGTGATCAATAAAATCTGAAAATCAATTCTCAAACCGACAGGAAGTCAGTGAGGGAGGATAAACCTGGACTGATGTGACGCCGTCGACTAAAACCAGTTAAAAGCCTAAATCAGGTTAACTCTCCTTGAACTCGGTAACCTCTGTTCTCGTACCGACGCTCTCTTGCTGCGGGTGTAGCTGCTCCACGGTTGGGGCTCCAGGATGAATAATCCGCCCGGCGACAGGCTCTGATAGGCTCTTCTGAACAGTCTGACCACGCCCACGTCCCCCGACTGAAGCTGCACCCACTTGGTCACGCCCAGACACATGATGACGTCATACTGACCCCGCCCAGGCCACGCCTCCTGCTCCGACACGTAGTCGCCCTGTGGGAGGAGCCGAAGCAGCTGAGTCAGAGGGGCGGTGATGTCACAGTGATGATGTAGGAGGAGCTTAAGAAGAGACTCACCTGGATGAAGGTGACGTTGTTCGGGAACCTGGAGAAGGAGGAGGAGGAAGGAGGGAGGAGGAGGGGAGGAGCAGAGAGAGGACCCCGACTCACCCTAAAGGAGAGGGGGAGGGGGAGGAGGGCGAGGGTCCGCTGGAGCTCCTCCATCACCTCCTCCATCGCCTCCTCCTTCTTCACACCTTTACCTGTCGACTCCTCCCCCCTCTGTCCTCCCGTGTCCTCCCTCTGTGAAGGAGGAGGTACAGACGACGCTCCCCCCCTCCTCCCTCGTTCCCCCACCACAAGGTCATGTGACAGGAAGTGCCTGATGTTCTGTTTGGCGGCATGAACCAATCTCTTGTCCAGCTCCACCCCCAGGATGTGGGCGGGGTCAAACCTCCGGGCCACCGTCAATGTCACGTGACCCGCGCCACATCCGATGTCGAGCACCGTCTTGTTGCTGAACCAACTGGCTTCTAGGAGGCGGAGCCTTGGGTCCTCCGTGACCCCGACCCGTCCCTCCCACCTGTCGCCGTAGAAACCATGGTAGCCATAGTAACAGCTGTGGTTGCCATATTGGTAGCGATGTTTATCCTTCTTCTTCTGTGGTGGCTGAGCAGACTCAGGCTGTAGTCCTCCAAACCTGCGGGGGGCAGAACACAGGTCACATGACGAGGCAACCAATCAGATCACGGCGTGCTTTCTTCCTCCAGGTGAAACACTTACCTTCCACCTTTAGCCCCTCCCACCAGCGGTGTCTGGAATTTGGATGGCCGAGTTGTGGTTGCCACGGTAACAGCATTCGCCGCACAGTCTCCCGACCGTGTCGAGGTCGTGCGGCGCCGTCTGCGCTGGCGACTGTCACCTTGGTTACCGGCTTTATGAGCCTGGCCCGGTAGAGGATGGGTGTGTCTTCTGGGGAGGATTGGGGGCGGAGCTACATCATCTCGACAGGTGATGGCTGTATTGAGCTCACAGGGGAGGGGAGAGGGCGGAACACTGCCCTCTTTGGCCAAGAGTGGAACTGCAGATAAACATGAACAACACACGTCTGTTTATCGACCTTTAGAAACACGACGCCGACATCGGAGTGAACTCGCAGATTTACGGCGTTTAAAACAGCTGACCCCCGACCTCCACCTTCATCCTGATCGTCTCCTAAAAGGTCGTATCCTCCGATCGTAGCTGATCGTAAACATTCAAGTTAACGTGTCAATTTACACCGACTTCTTTCCGTCGGACGCCGGAGCATGGCGGATAAATTCAGCACAGATTAACCCGTGCTGGAAAGGAAGTCGGAAACAGACTTCAAAATAAAACATCCGGCTTCTTTTCAAAATAAAACACTCAGCCAAATTCGCCGCCGCAAATGATTAACACGAAATAAAAGTACAGAAAAAATTACATATTTCATTTAATTTTTTCTTCTTTAATTTTTAAATTTTCATTTTGAACATAATATTTAGTTTTATTATGAAAACACATGTTCATAAATCCAGGAAAATAAAGTAAATATGTGAAAACATAAATAACGTGAACGACGGTGCGGCAGGTTTGTCGCTCTGCTCAGAATCAAAATTAAACTCATTTAATTTTTTCTTTAAATTTTCTGGTTCTTTTCTGTTTCTCAGGAAAAGGTAACGACAAACAAACATGGCTGATGGCGTGCGCTGCGTGTGGTCGACGTCAGGCGTACGAGAATAAAGGACGAGGAGAAGGTGGAAAATTTGAGGCTTTGATGGAAATGGAGATAAAAACTGTCGGTACGAAAACAAAAGTTCAGGTCAGAGGAGGACGGATCGTTTAGAAAATGAACGCTCCGTCTGCCCGGGAGCTTTGCATCGTGGGTAACAGTAGGCTAAGCAGACCGGTCTGATGCCCACTGTGAAATTTTCCTGAATCAGCACGCCATCCGGGTATTTCTGACAAACTTGACATTTGTTCGCCGCCTGCAGAGCGAGACTAAAGTACGACCTGTGAGGACAGGAGGAGGAGTCAGAAACAGCGCAGGTGTTCCCGTCTCACCTGTCAGTCCAGCCGTGGAGGGGAACAGCCGCGCAGGTACGACCTCCCTCTCCCCTCCCCCTCCATGGTGTCTGTTCCTGTGTCTCTTCCTCGCCTTCAGGGGGGACAGCAGGAGTCCCCCGCCCTCCTTCCCGTCCTTGTCTCCCTTCAGATTTAGGGGGTCGGTGATGTCTCTGGGTACGAGGATCTCCACGGGGTCTCCGCCGCGCAGAGGCAGGGGCGAGCACTTTGGTGTTTCCTGATTGGTCTCTCTGGGGAGGAGAGGCGGAGTTTAGGAGGTTATTTAAGGATCTCAGCGATCGATCGCTTCGTCAATAACGAGTCTGACGTCTCACCTGTTCACGTCTTCGTCCAACAGCGAGTTCAGGTTGAGCGGGTCGAAAATGTTTCCACCCAGCAGGAAGTGGGTGGGCAGCACAGGCTCCGATTGGCTGTCACTGTTGGCACGACGACGGCGTTTGGCCAGCCCCTTTAAGCCGACGCCCATCGAGTATCGTCTCTTTGCGAGTCGCTGAGTAGGCGGAGCGGAGGAGGCGGTGACAGGGGGCTGAGCGTCATCAGGAGGGTGAAGGCCATTTTTGGGGAGAAGGGGGCGGGTCTTAGCCAGCTGCGGCTGCTCTGATAGGCTGCTCGTGACCGGGAAGGTGGGTCCAACCTCGTGAGGGAGGACGGTCTCATTGTCCAACGACATCCTGATCATCATCAACCAGCGACTCCTCAGCCAATCAGAGTGAACTACAGAGAGGGGAGGGGCTACAGTGAGGGGATGAGCCAATCAAAGAGCAGAGAAACATGAAAGAGGATGTTAAATTAACCGAATAATTAACGGATTGACCAATCAGATGAAGAGCTTTCTCACTGAGGAGGTCTCAGGTGTGGAGTGAGTACAGAGGTGAACACTCTCAAACATTAAAGACAAACACAGTGGTTCAAAGTTAGTCCACATAAATATTTACTGATATATTCACAATCATCTTCATATTTAAATCCAGAGAATTAAAGAGACTCAATCAGAACTTTTCAGAACCAAACAGGACCTGAAAAGACCTTCAAGTCCTGGAGAGTGAATCTTCTGATACGATCACTGAGGAATCACCGTGACCTGTTACTGACACTGAAATATCACCATTACTGCTTCACAGTTTAAAGGGATATTCTGGTGTAAATTTAGGGTCAAACACACCGGAACAGCAGAGATGAATGTTGCTGATTCATACACGCTTGCCCGGTAAGAGTTGATGGGATTCAGCTCTAACTGACTGTGGATAAGCGGCCTGTCATTGGTTACAACTACTGCTTCACACACCTCCTCATGAGTTCCAGCTGAGGTTCAATATAAGAGACATTTTCAGAAATTAAATGATGAAGGACTTTATGAAATCAGTTTGACAGATTTAAAGAACTACTTTTGTAAATAATGAGGACTAGAGTTGGGCATCGAGTCTCCAGAATCGATGGGGATCCGGACTGACATTCCGATTCTCCCGGAACCGTTCAAATTTAAAAACTTCCAAATTTCAAAACCGGAGTCCGCCGACCGGAAGAAATAGTTGCTAAACACCAACGAAGAAGCAGCTGCTAAACACCAACAAAGAAGAAGAGTACGAGACGAAGCCACAGAGACAGAGAGCGAGAGCTCATTGCAACCCAGAGCGGTTGCGGCGGTCAAAAGTTTGTCAAAGTTTCTCAGGAAGAATGAACTCTTCTCTCAGAGCGACATTATAAACTCAGTTATATCCTGTAAAGGAGGATAAACGACCGACAGGATGAAACTCCTCAGGATTCATGGAGGAGAAACACCTGAGAGCTCGTCTTTGACGTTCTTTGCCAGTGTTGTGTCATAAAATGCACCCCTGACAGGAGCGCGGTTTTAAGTATTTCAGGTAAAATAATCCAAGTTTTCCTCACTGTTGGTCAGATTCAGACTATTCAGATAAGATGAAAACAACAGCCCTCTGATTCTGAATAATTACTGTCCTGAAAATATAAAGTTCTCTACATTAACAGCTAACTGTACAGTTTATATACCCAAGGTTTCCTCTATGTGTGCATTTTTGAGACACATAAAAACAAAAGGAAAGTTTACTGCTCCATCTGACATGTTGTCATGATCTAATACTGGTGTTTTTATTAAATATGAGATCATTGTCTCATGAGTGAGAGGGGATGTATTCTACAACACAACACCGGTCTTTGGTAACGGTGGGTAAACTTAAATATCCAACTAACATTAGCCTGTGTACTTTTTCACAGACAAACCACCTGACAACAAAAAACTGATGTTTATAAACTGGTTTAAAATGTGAGAAATTCAGAGTAAAGTTCTTAGAAAGTTAAAATATTTCAGAAATTCATTAAAAAACAAGAACAACGGTTAGCACCCTCATTTAAACCCTGTATTTTTTTTTTATATCCTTCCTTTGAAAAGAATCGGAATACAGAATCGAATCGAATCGGAATCGTTCCGAAGTCAAACGACACCCAACCCTAATGATGATGCGCACAGATGACTCCATGTTGTGGAGGTTAAACTAACAGTTATGAGAACTTTGATTCTGATCTGAGACACGAATCAAAGCGACTGAGACAAACTGAAACACGAACAGGAGCCGCGGGTTAAAAACGGGTCTCTGTCTCTGCTGGAGGTCCTTAAACTTTGAATTTCTCTGAAAAAAACTAAAACTTCAGTGTTTGTAGTTGAACTAACTCTGATAATAAATGATAAATACTCACAGAGTGAAGCTCAAACACTCTTCAACCTCCTCTTCCTCCTCCGTTGGTGTCCTCACACACACACACACTAACAGGAAAGCGCGTGTGTGTGTGAGATTCCCTTTCTAGCCCCGCCCCCTTCGCTTTATCCTCCAATCAGAGGCCGCGGTCATGAATAATTCAAACTAACCGAACCACACTGGTAAACAGTTAGCTTCTTCTGCTAGCCACGTCCGGCTAACATGCAGGAAGTAGCTCTCTCGCTCTCTCTCTCTCGTGCACACCCCCCTTCAGATAAACAACTTCGAAAACATCCCCGAACACGCGCAGTGTGCACGAAAACGAGCTCCCGCCGAGCCCAGGGTGCGCGTCAATGCGCGTGTCAGTGTGTGTGTGCGGGCTGCGGAGAGCTGAAGGTTAGCTTTAGCCTGTTAGCCGTTAGCTGCTGAGGACTTCTCGTGCTCTGAAGCGCAGCTCCTGGTTTTATAAGCCAGCAGCAGGGCCACCTGAGCGACGACACGGCAAACCAATCAGATCCAGAGTCGAGCTCACGCCTCCCTCGTACTACAACCAATCATGTGGCCGTATTGTTTGAGCGCTGGTTTGATTGGTCGTATCAGGAGGAGGCGGGAGAATACCAGTGAAGAAAGGCGCCTTAAGAAGTGCCTGACCAAAAAAACATAACACGGTCAAAAATAAACGACTAAACTCTTAAATAAAGCGAAATTCCAGGAAATAAAGAGTGTTCATACATGATAACTCCAACTGTTAGTGTGTCCGACCACATTTTTACCCTTTATGATGGATTTTGTTGTCAGTTTAAGACAAACAGACAGCCTGAGCTCGAAGCAGTTTTATTACAGCCCTAATCATTGACTCGCAGGTATCGCCTCACAAACTCCCTCACCGCGAATTAAAGGTTTTCAAGCGTTTACAGATGACTTGTTTAGTTTGATTTAAGTTTGAGTATACGGCTAAGAAAGAAACAGCGGTTAAAGTCCGTTAATACGTCCGTTAACACATACTATTAGAACTCGGAGGGGAAAGTGTGCCTGAGAGGTAATACTTAGGGTAAATATAAACGTGTGTATCTATAACCCATAAGTAGGTTATCTGTCTGTTCTTTATAAACTAGGGATGCACCGATCCGATATTTGGATCGGATATCTGATGAATGACGCCGATCCAGCCTTTTTTTTTTTCTTTTAATTAATTTTTCTTTTTCATACATGGAAGTCTTACTTCTTTTTGTTGTGAGCTAATGTGCAATTTGTTAATAAGATAACATTAAGTCCATTTATATCTGTGTTAATGTCAAACCTGATGATGTATACAGTTCATTCATTCAACAGTCGTATTGGATCGGATATCAGCCGATACGCTCAGCCCAGGTATTGATATCGGATTGGATCAGAAGAAAATGGATCGGTGCATCTCTATTATAAACACTCACAGAGACAGTCCACTGTATGAACTCTTTTATATTATAAACAGTTACAGACCTGTTTCTAAACTGTCTGTTCTGACTCAGGTTCTTAAATTCCTTTTCAGTGAACAAGTAAAAGCAAACCTGGTCATGTTCACAAAATACACACAGTCCTACCGCTGCAGCCTTGAAGGTTATAAATGAAAGAACTGAAGCCTTAGATAATAAACACTGTTGTCTGTTAACACCGTGAACCGTGACATTTTGATTGAAGGTCTTACAGTAACTGGGTTTTCTGAACATGCAGTTGGACGGTTTGTAGACAATCTCAGAGACAGAAGCCAGGCTGTCTAGTTAGGGGGCGTCTCTGCTGAGGTTCAGTTTGTCCACAAGGGGGCGCCCCAAGAGTCCATGTATTATCTGTCCGTTCAATTATCCTGTTCAATCTAGAAAAACAAGTCAATATTTTGTTTTTTTGTATAACCAAAAGATGTCTCAAATAGTCATCGACTAATTATGGAAGAATTGTGAAGTCTGACGGCTGAGGGTGAAAAAGATCTTCTGAACGTGTCTGTCCTCCTGATCTCTGCTCATTCAGAGTTTTATGTCTCAGTGAATCTTATTTCTTTATTTCTGAGTCTTACTGTAACAGACAGACACAGACGGATGGACAGACAGCTGGACACTAGGTGGCAGCAGATCATGAACAATATTAAACCTGAATTTTGTTTCCTTTAAATGAGCTTCTGCTGTTAATCCACAAAGTAAGAGTCCATCGTGGGGGACGTCCTGAATGTGGGTCCACAGGTGAAACACAGGTGAAGGGATCTCAGGTGTGTGTTCAAGATATGTTTGAACAGAAAATGTCGATCAGCTGATCTAAAACGGCTTTAATAACCATTGATGACGATATGGTTATGGTGCTCATCACACAGATTACACACCACGCACTCCACAGTTTTTTCTTTTTGTTTGTTTTTCTGTTTGTTGGTTTATTTGTTTTTGTGTTAAGTTGTTGTTTTTTACGTGTTTGTAGTTTTTTTTTCCCTGTTTGTTTGTGTGTTTTCTGTGTTTATTTATGTGTTTGTCTGTTTGTTTTTTTCTTTGTGTTTGTCTATTTTTTTTCTTTGTTTGTTTGTGTGTTTATTTGTTTAGTCTTTATTAGTTCCTTTGTTTGTTTTTTGTGTTTTTTTTATGTGCTTGTTTGTTTGTTTATTAGTTCATGGGTTTAATTGTTTGGTCTTTGTTTTTTTTAGTTTGTTTTTTCTTTGTGTGTTTTTTATGTTATTTATTGGTTTGTTTTTTGTTTATTTGTTTGTTTGGTCATCTGTTATTTGTTTGTGTCTTTTTTGTGTTTGCTTGGTCTTTGTGTGTTTTTTTGTGTTTATATATTGGTTTGTTTGTTTGTTTGTTTGGTCTTTGTGTTTGTTTTTTGTGTTTTTTGTGTTTGTGTGTTTATTTCGGTCTTCATTTGTTTGTTTGTTTTATATTTTTGTTTAATTGTTTTTATTTCTTTGTGTTTGTTTTAGTTTTTTCTTTGTGTGTTTATTTATTTGTTTGTTTGTTTTTTGTTTGTTTGTTTATTTGTTTGTTTATTTGTTTGTTTGTTTGTTTGTTTGTGTGTTTTTTGTGTTTGTTTGTTTGTTTATTTTTTGTTTGTTTGTTTATTTTTTTGTTTGTTTGTTTTTTGTGTTTTTTGTGTTTATTTGTTTGTTTGTGTGTTTTTTGTGTTTGTTTGTTTGTTGTCTTAAACAGAATTTACTTTCGACTGAGCTGTCAATCAAACTGACCAGCAGCTGGTCCAATCTCGTGTCCTGAGTCGCAGGAGAGGGCGGGGCCTGAGCGTGTGCCAGAGGGCTGATGAGAGTGAAGGATTAGGACTTCATTACCCAGCATGCCCTGTGTGTGTTTGTAAAATCCCTAAAGAGGATTTATGTGGATCAGAGAGCCGACATGCCGCTGAAGAGAGAAGGTGAGACGTTTTTATTTTCATTACCTGTTTAACACACACACTCACACAAACACACACACTCACACACACACTCACACACACACTGTGGTTCTACGTGTGTGTGAGTGTGTGTTAATTATTGTGTGTCTGTGAGTGTGTGTTATCTGTGAATCTTCCTCCTCAGTGAGTTTCCTCTGATCATCCTCATCTTCATCGTTTTATTGATCAAAGTTACTCTCTGTGATGGCACCCCTGACCTTTGACCCCTGTTTGCTAGACAGGAAGTTGTTTTTGTTCTTCGTTGTGTTTGTAGTTCGGACACTTTGTTAATGAGGCGGGCGCCGCACTCGTCATTTGACACGTACAGTAAAAGATCGACTACTACGACTGTAAATACTGACCCGTTCATGTCAGGAGGTACTACAAAATAAAAGCACGGAGGTCAGGAGGTACTACAAAATAAAAGAACAAAGGTCAGGAGGTACTACAAAAAAAAGGCACTGAGTTCAGGAGGTACTACAAAATAAAAGATCTGATGTCAGGAGGTACTACAAAATAAAAGCACTGAGGTCAGGAGGTACTACAAAATAAAGGCACTGGGGTCAGGAGGTACTACAAAATAAAAGCACTGAGGTCAGGAGGTACTACAAAATAAAAGCACTGAGGTCAGGAGGTACTACAAAATAAAAGATCTGATGTCAGGAGGTACTACAAAATAAAAGCACTGAGGTCAGGAGGTATTTCAAAATAAAAGCACTGGGGTCAGGAGGTACTACAAAATAAAAGCACTGAGGTCAGGAGGTACTACAAAATAAAAGCACTGAGGTCAGGAGGTACTACAAAATAAAAGCACTGAGGTCAGGAGGTACTACAAAATAAAGGCACTGGGGTCAGGAGGTACTACAAAATAAAAGCACTGGGGTCAGGAGGTACTACAAAATAAAAGCACTGAGGTCAGGAGGTACTACAAAATAAAGGCACTGAGGTCAGGACGAACTACAAAATAAAAGCACTGAGGTCAGGAGGTACTACAAAGTAAAAGATCTGAGGTCAGGAGGTACTACAAAGTAAAAGATCTGAGGTCAGGAGGTACTACAAAATGAAAGAACTGAGGTCAGGAGGTACTACAAAATAAAAGCACTGAGATCAGGAGGTACTACAAAATAAAAGATCTGAGGTCAAGAGTTACTACAAAATAAAAGCACTGAGGTCAGGAGGTACTACAAAATAAAAGCACTGAGGTCAGGAGGTACTACAAAATAAAAGCACTGAGGTCAGGAGGTACTACAAAATAAAAGAACTGAGGTCAGGAGGTACTACAAAATAAAAGCACTGAGGTCAGGAGGTACTACAAAATAAAAGAACTGAGGTCAGGAGTTACTACAAAATAAAAGCACTGAGTAACTTAGGCATTAAAGGATGCTGATCCTGATCGTATCCTCGGCATAAAGACAGAACTCTGACCCGGTCTAAAGGAACCTCAGTCCAGTTCAGGAAAGTGTTTCCTGTCCCCGCAGACACTGAGCGCGCTCTGCAGGTCATGGAGGCCTGTCAGGCCGGAGCAGCTGAAGGGGTCAAAGGTCGCGCAGAGAAACTGCTCAACATCTTCCAGAGTGACCTCTTCCAGGCCCTGCTGGGTAACACACACGCACACACACACACACGCACACACACATTACAACGCCCTGATTGGACGAGGTCCCTGTGTGTGTGTGTGATTAATCCAGAGTGTGTGTGTGACTCATTAACACTCTGACTGATCTGTTTGGCCGCTGCCTGAGCTCTGATTGGCCGATCACAGCGGCAGGTTCACAGGTGAGAGCAGCACCTGAGTGAGGACTGACTGACCGCCAAACAAAACACGCCAACACCTGAAAAATCACCACATGCTGCTTTAACCAATCTGCTGTTTACTTTAAGGAAGTATGAAAGGAGCGCTGTGATTGGTCCAAACATTCTAACTTTGTGTGTGTGTGTGTGTGTGTGTGTGTGTGTGTGTGTGTAGACATCCAGGAGTTTTACGAGCTGACAGTCTGTGAGAACCAGACGATGAGCCGACCGCACACACCTGGACAGGTAAGAACACACACACACACACACACACACACACACACACACACACACACACACACACACACACACACTCTGTCTCTCTTTTTAATCCACATGGCAACACCCATCACTGTTACCTAGCAACAGCTGCAGCAGCATTACCGGGGCAACAGCTGCATAACACCATGGCAACAGGAGCCCAACCCCCACCTCCTCCCTCTCTCTCTCTCTCTCTCTCTCTCTCTCTCTCTCTCTCTCTCTCTCTCTCTCTCTCTGTCTTCTTGTTGAGTGACTCAAGGAGGTGTACACCCCCGCCCCCCCCTCACAAAAACACACACACCACTCTTGATCTGTCTTGCTCGCCCCCTCTCTCTCTCTCGCTCTCTCTCGCTCGCTCGGCGCCGACAGACGGAGGAAGAGAAGAGGAGAGCGAGCGGGCGAGCGAGGACAGACAGACAGACAAGGAGAGAGAGAGAGAGAGAGAGAGAGAGAGAGGGGGGAGGGCGACAAAGAGAGAGAGAGAGAGAGAGAGAGATCGAGCATGAGTGTGTGAGTGTGTGTGAAAATGTGTGTGTGTGAGTGTGAGTGTGTGTGAGTGTGTGTGTGTGTGGATATGGACTGCCTCTGCATTGTCACCACCAAGGTAAGAGCAGACCGCCCGCATGCACCGCTGCAACACACTTACACACACACACACACACACACACACAGTCTATGAAGACACACACACACATACATCCCTATAGAATGTGTGTGTCTGTGTGTGTGTGTGTGTGTGTGTCCTCATAAACCATAAAAGCCGGGTTTATGTGCGCTCGCTGCTGCCGTCATGATTTCATTCATCTCTTTCTCTCGCTGTGTGTGTGTGTGTGTGTGTGTGTGTGTGTGTGTGTGTGTGTGGTTAGCGCTGCCAAACTAGCATGTATATTAGCTCATGCTAGCTCCCGTGTGTGTCTGTTAGCTGAGATTCTGACACGTGTGTTCACCTGTCACATGACTCGGGTCTGAATGAAACGATCCATAACCGGCGTGAATGACGGTGCAACAGGTGTGTCGTGTTGTGTTGTGTCGTGTTGTGTGTGTTGTGTTGTGTCGTGTTGTGTGTGTTGTGTGTGTTGTGTAATGATAAAGTGCTCTGTCACCCTGACCACCTGGCGTCCTCTCAGGTGATACACTCGACCTGTTGTTGTTGTTCGTTAAAGTCTGTGAGAAAATCGGAGGTAGAAAACGGCAGAGAAACTTCAGGCGACTTTTTTTACGAAGGTGCGTTTTGACACCATGTTGGCGTGATGCTAACTCAGCGAAAAAACGACATACGAACGACATACGAACGGTACGTTAGGAAGGTTTAGCCCCGGTTTGGTCCACTGTTTCCTCGGTATGGTCTTAGTCTTAGTCCCGTCCTCTCTGGTTATGTAACTCTGGTTTTTTAGTGTGTTGGACTTGTTGGTCCATCAACTGTCGATAAATACAGAATTTCATGGTTTCCAAATTATTTAAAGGGATATTCCGGCGTAAAATTAATTTAGGGTCAAACACCGAGTTAGACCCCCCTCCAGAGATGAATGTTGCCGACCGCTTGCTTCTCTAGTTATACCAACTTTAGTAATGACCGCAGGATAGTAATACAGAGAGCCACGCCCCCAACCAAAACGCCACTCTATAGCCACAAATAATGCTCAGAACAGCACCTAACTTCATCAACAGGACATATAGGGTCACAGACATAGTACTATATTCAGAGTTGTTCTAACTCCTAAGAAAACAAACTTTAGCTGGGGCGTTTCTCCACTTCTGTAGTCTATTTTTCATTGAGCCGAATTATCAATAAAATCATGATTTTGTTAACAGGTATGGATTTATGTGCTGTCGAGTTAATATATTTGAACAAGAGCACAGTAAAGTTAAATCAGCTAATTTTCCAATGAGGTTCTGTTACTAAACTGAACTACACCATGTTCTACTCAGGTCAGTACATACAGGGTCACAGACATAGTACTAGACACCAAACATCTTTTTAACTTTGACTCATTTCTTTAACAAAGAGACTAAACACAACTCACCTACTCTCTTCCAGCAGACGCTTGTTTGTAGTGAGACCTCAGGCCAGTCCATTACAGACTACAGCGGGGTGCTGCAGCTCAAGGAAGAACATTTATGATCATTTCTTCATGGAAATACAATCAGACCGAGACGCTAAGACAGAAGAACTACCGCGTCTGCAGTTCAAATGATTAATATTGTTCAGTTTAATTTATAAGATTCAAATAGCAGTACAGCCATCTACAGGCCGATTCTGGTACAGCGGTTAGGCTTCGTCTGTTTGAATAAAACCTTTATCCAGGAGGTGACAGAGAATAACAACAAAGACGCTCGGAGAAGCACGTTTGCCGGCTTCTAGGCATACATCTTCTACGAGTTGCATTGTCAGTATGTGTTCACATGTGGATTTATGGTTATATGCTCAAGTCTAAAGTGGCAAAGTATCAGGTTGTGTGATTATTTGTGTTGTCACGTGTCACGCGTGTTTTAAGCCTACATCGAGTGAGCTATTTTAGTTAGCCTACTAGACTTTAGTTCATATGGTTGACAGATGTGGAATTGTTTACTTTATGGTTTATGCATCTCTATAAATGCAATATTCATTCATGTATTATTTGTGTATTTCTTTTAGTTTCACACTTTCAACAATAAACACAATAAACCTGGCAGAAAAATGATACCCAGTGTGTTTGAAGGGAAGAGTTTAGCTGCCTGTTAACACATGCACACGACACATTGAGGACAAAACAAATATGATGATTATTACTTCAAGGAAATGATAAAGAAATGATCATAAATGTTCTTCCTTGAGCTGCGTCACCCCGCTGTAGTCTTTAATGGACTGGCCTGAGGTCTCTCTACAAACAAGCGTCTGCTGGAAGAGAGTAGGTGAGTTGTGTTTAGTCTCTTTGCTAAAGAAATGAGTCAAAGTTAAAAAGATGTTTGGTGTCTAGTACTATGTCTGTGACCCTATATGTACTAACCTCAGTAGATCATGGTGTAGTTCTGTTCAGTAACAGAACCTCGTTGGAAAATTAGCTGATTTAACTTTACTGTGCTCTTGTTCACTTCAACTAAAAACGTTCTGAATGATTTGGAAACCAACAGATTATCATTATTATTATTTGTACATGTGACACATCCTTCCTCCTCTTGTTAAGAAGTTTTTTCCTATTCTGAGGTTCGGTCCGGTTTTATCTTCTTTTTTGGCTTTATTTTGGTCCAGTTCTCTTTGGTTAAGTCTAAGTTTAGTTTGGTCCAGTGTTTCCTGGTGTTCTGGTCCTGGTTTGGTCCAGTTTCTCCTAGTATTCCGGTCCTGGTTCGGTCCAGTTTCTCCTGGTGTTCTGGTTCTGGTTTGGTCCAGTGTTTCCTGGTGTTCTGGTCCTGGTTTGGTCCAGTTTCTCCTAGTATTCCGGTCCTGGTTCGGTCCAGTTTCTCCTGGTGTTCTGGTCCTGGTTGGGTCCAGTGTTTCCTGGTGTTCTGGTCCTGGTTTGGTCCAGTTTCTCCTGGTGTTCTGGTCCTGGTTGGGTCCAGTTTCTCCTGGTGTTCTGGTTCTAGTTTGGTCCAGTTTCTCCAGGTGTTCTGGCCCTGGTTTGGTCCAGTTTCTCCTAGTATTCCGGTCCTGGTTGGGTCCAGTTTCTCCAGGTGTTCTGGCCCTGGTTTGGTCCAGTTTCTCCTGGTGTTCTGGTCCTGGTTTGGTCCAGTGTTTCCTGGTGTTCTGGTCCTGGTTGGGTCCAGTTTCTCCTAGTGTTCTGGACCTGGTGTGGTGCAGTTTCTCCTGGTGTTCTGGTCCTGGTTTGGTCCAGTGTTTCCTGGTGTTCTGGTCCTGGTTCGGTCCAGTTTTCCTGGTGTTCTGGTCCTGGTGTGGTCCAGTATTTCCTGGTGTTCTGGTCCTGGTTCAGTCCAGTTTCTCCTCTGGTTGGGTCCAGTGTTTCCTGGTGTTGTGGTCCTGGTTTGGTCCAGTTTCTCCTGGTGTTCTGGTCCTGGTGTGGTCCAGTTTCTCCTGGTGTTCTGGTCCTGGTTGGGTCCAGTTTCTCCTGGTGTTCTGGTCCTGGTTGGGTCCAGTTTCTCCTGGTGTTCTGGTTCTAATTTGGTCCAGTTTCTCCTGGTGTTCTGGTTCTAGTTTGGTCCAGTTTCTCCTAGTATTCTGGTCCTGGTTGGGTCCAGTATTTCCTGGTGTTCTGGTCCTGGTTGGGTCCAGTTTCTCCTGGTGTTCTGGTCCTGGGTCCAGTTTCTCCTGGTGTTCTGGTCCTGGTTCGGTCCAGTTCCTCCAGGTGTTCTGGTCCTGGTTCGGTCCAGTTTTCTTGCCTTTTCTTCGTTGGTGTTTCTCACTTTAATATTCGTCCATTTCCTTCAGAGAGAGAGAGAGATGGATGTGTTGTATCAGAAATAGCTTCTACTATCTTTAGCTACATCAGTACTGCTAATGGACACACTCACACAGACACACTCACACACACACACACACACACAGACACACACACACACACACACACACACACACACACACACACACACACACACACACACACTCTAGTTATATATTCAGACTAAAACTGTATCTCCACTTCCTCCTGATTGGACAACAGCCGTTTTCTTTGACCAATCAAACTCCGGTCCAGTTGCATCATTTCCAGATCAGACCAGTATGGACTGGTTTTGTTCTGTCAGTGACCTGCCAGACCATTTGAGACCTGGTTCTTCAGTAGAGCTCGGGTCCTGAGGGGGAAGTCTGTCTTGGTGACGAGTCTGGACCAGTTCAGACCCCCTAATTAGACCTGAGACGGGTCAGGTCCAGTTCTGAATGACATGATGTTAAAGAAGTTAAAGACTGTCTGAACAAATCTAGACCGGGTCAAACCAGTTTTAGACTGACCCTGTTCGAGTTTAAAGGTTTAGACTAAAGTGTTCTGGTTTTGGTTTTGGTGAAACAACTTTGAACTTCTCAGTCTGGAGAAAGTTCGGATTAAAATGTTCGTATCCGTGTCGGCTGATTTAAAGACCCAGGTGGTGACGTTGTTGACAGGACACTGTGGAACCGTCCAAACAGTGGAGACGCTTAACAGTCTGTTTTTGTTGTCTGATTTGACGTTGTTGTTTTTTTGCTGTTGTAGTTTTTTTTTTATTTGTTGTTTTTGTTTTTTGTTGTTTTTTTGCTGTTTTTGTTGTTTTACTGTTGTTTTTGTTGTAGTCTGTTTTGCTGTTGATGTTGTTTTTTTGTTTATTTGTTGTTTTTGTTTTTGTTGTTTTTCGCTGTTTTTGTTGTTGTTTTGTTGTTTTTGTTTTTTGTTTATTTGCTCTTGTTATTTTTGTTTGCTGTTGATGTTATGGTCATCTGTTGTGAAGTTGTTGTTGTTGTTTCAAGATTGAGGTGTGGTTAATATTGTCAGTGTTTGTGGGTTTGTAAACGTTTTTTGTTGTTATTGTTGTTTTTGTTTGTTTTGCTGTAGATGTTTTTTTTGCTGTTGTTTTTTGTTGTTGTTATTGTCATCTGTTGTGAAGTTGTTGTTTCAAGATTGAGGTGTGGTTTATGTTGTCTGTGTTTGTGGGTTTGTAAATTTTTTTTGTTGTTTTTGTTTTTTTCTTTGTCTGTTTTTTTGTTGTTGTTATTGTTGTTGTTGTTTTTGTTATTGTTGTCTTTTGCGAAGTTGCTGTTGTTTCAGGATTGAGGTGTCGTTTACGTTGTCATAGTTGATTCGTAAATGTTTTGTCGTGTTTTGTGTTTATTGTGTTTAAGGGTTTGTGTGCGTTTTCCTGTTGTTGGTTTCGGCATTTTTTGTGTTGTCGCTGTTGTTAACGTTGTTTGTGTTGTTGGTGTCGACGTTGTTGTTATGACTTTATCGGAGCTTTTCTGTGTTTACGGTGTCGTCGACTCGCGGCGAATATAAACAGTGTGTGTGTGTTTGTGTAAGTGTGTTTGTGTGTGTGTATACGTGTGTGTTTGTGTGTTTGTGTTTGTGTTTGTGTGTTTGTGTTTGTGTTTGTGTTTGTGTGCAGGGCTGTGGGCCACATGTCAGTCACAAACACGCATGTAAACACAGACTGTCATTATCAGCTGGGCAAGATTCCAACAACACGTCCACACACACACACACACACACACACACACACACACACACACACACACACACACACACACACACACACACACACACACACACACACGTATTTATAGAGTCAGTGAACAGATTAACTCCTCGCTGTCTGTAGCTGATCTGTGACCAGGTGTCTGTGAGTCTCAGTCTCATTCTGGAGGTCAAAGGTCATCACAGTGACCTCAGCACCAGGACTGGACCTCATCTGAACCCGGTTCCAAAGTTCAGGATCTTTTCACGGGTCTGACTGTGGGCTGTGTTTAAAAATGGGGGTCAAGTCAGGACCACATCAGTCCAGGACTCTCCTCCTACAGAGCCACGCTGCTGTCAGGATCTGGTCTGGGACCATATGAGGGTCTTACCTAAAGAGGTCCTGGTCTGGATGGACGCAGATGTTGGTCCTGAACCTGGAGATCTTGTTCAGGGAGCTGAGAACCAGTCTGGTGGACCCTCTACTCCTTAGAGAGGAGGATGCAGGGTCCAGGATTTTAGTCTTCATCAAAATCTGACTCTGATCAAGAATTCGATCAGAACGGCGAGTCGATCGAACACAGAGGTCAGAGGTCAGAGGTCAGAGGTCAGGTTTATCCTCCTCCGTCTGTCCTTTCAGCCCCCCCCAACACTCTTCCTTTATGAATCGAGGCTGGCTCCTCCTCTGTCCGGTGATGTCAGTTGCCGGGCAACCGAGGCTATAAGAGCCCCCTGTTACTATGGCAACCGCATCACCATCTCCGCCTCTCATTCTCTTCTTTCTCTCCTTTTTCTCCTCTTCTCTTGTTTCTCTGTTCATCCTTTTCTTTTATTAACCAACCCCCCCGATCGTCCCTCTGTGCTCCCTCTCTCTCTCTCTCGCTCTCTCTCTCTCTCTCTCTCTCTCTCTCCCTCTCTCTCTCTCACTCTCTCTCTCTCTCTCTCTCTCTCTCTCTCTCTCTCTCTCTCTCTCTCTCTCTCTCTCTCTCTCTCTCTCTCTCTCTCTCTCTCCCTCTCTCTCTCTCCCTCTCTCTCTCTCTTTCTGGAGGAGGTTTTGAATGGAAATGAGTCTTTAGGTCACCTTGTGTGTGTGTGTGTGTGTGTGTGTGTGTGTGTGTGTGTGTGTGTGTGTGTGTGTGTGTGTGTGCGTTCACTGATGATGTCATGCTTTAAAGCCAATCAGATGACTCTGAGAAAAGTTTCCTTGATTTTGAGTTTGTTCAGATTTACACCTTCATCAAATTTAAATGTGAATATTTGGTCAAACAGGAAGTGAAGGTTTAAGGTCCTTGAATGGGTTTTGGGCATCCTTGATTGTTTGTAAATGCCATCTTGGATAAAAAAAAGGAACTTGATAAGATTATAGAGGTCATTGAGTGGATAGACAGTCCTTGAAAGCATGGATAAATCCTTGAAGAGGTTGTGGAGATCATTGAACTGAGTCTAGAGGTCCTTGAGGAGGTTGTGGAGGTCATTAAACTGAGTCTAGAGGTCCTTGAGGAGGTTGTGGAGGTCATTGAGCTGAGTCTAGAGGTCCTTGAGGAGGTTGTGGAGGTCATTAAGCTGAGTCTAGAGGTCCTTGAGGAGGTTGTGGAGGTCATTAAGATGAGTCTAGAGGTCCTTGAGGAGGTTGTGGAGGTCATTAAGATGAGTCTAGAGGTCCTTGAGGAGGTTGTGGAGGTCATTAAACTGAGTCTAGAGGTCCTTGAGGAGGTGGTGGAGGTCATTAAACTGAGTCTTGAGGTCCTTGAGGAGGTGGTGGAGGTCATCAAAGAGGTTCTTGATACGTTTTAGAGGTTCTTCAGTAAGTTCAAGAGGTACGTGGAAAGGTCAAAGAGATCCTTACAAAGTTTTCAGAGGTCCAGAAGGCTTTCCAGGTCCTTGATTTGATCATATAGGAGTCCTTGAATAGGTGAGATAGGTCAGTGAAGAGGCTGTGGAGGTCCTTGGGAAAGTTTTAAAAGAGTCGCTCTGAGGGTTTTTTGATATCTATCAACCTTTAGAGGTCCATCAAGTTCTCTAAGGAGGTTGAAGTCCTTGAGGAGGTTGGAGGAGGTGGACAGTTTCTGGTCCTGTGATGGCATAAAGGGGCCTTGAAGAGGCTTTCGAGGTCCTTGAGGAGTCATAGAGGTATTTGAGGAGGTGTCACAGGTCATGGGGTTCTTCTAAATACTTTGATGGAGAAGAG